TCTTATTTTTGTACATATTCTTTAAAGGGCTGTTGGATTGCTTTCTGAGCTTCATATTTTTTCACATTTTAGCATCTTTGATATTGGAATGTATCATGTAATCTACAGAGTGTCAGAGTTTAATTGGTGGTATTTCTTTCTTTCTTAGTGATACAAAAAATATTGAGGAGCTTGCACTGGTATCTTGGATTCAGTAAACCTGGGCATTTGGAGCTTAGGGGCAAGTGGAGGAAGGGTAAAAGTGGAAGTACCTTGTCTATTCAGAATGGAGATTCTATTAACCAAGGCAGGATAAGATAACTGCTCCCCCCCACCCAAAAAAAAAAGTCAGCCAAGAGTTTGAGACATTCAGAAAGAAGAAATTACCTTGAATGATACCACTTAGTGGGAGGAGATTTTGTTAAGGACCCCCAGGTTATTATACTTTAGTTCACAGGTCTCCTGGAACTAGTATGACACTATTTCAACTGAGATTTGGGAAGGCTAAAAAAAAAAAAAAAAAATTGGCAGTATCACAGGAATAGTCCACTTCCAAAGATCTTAGAAGAGAGATAAATACATTTCTGAGATGGCAGGCCAATTTAGGAGAGACAGTTTTTACTATAGGACATATATATATATAACACAATGCTATATTTTATAATTTTCATACATATGAGATTTTTAAAATAATTTTCTCTTGTTGCATTACAAGGGCCCATCATTCAGTGCCCATGACACTATTTCAACTACGAAAGCATCTTTATCTGTACTGAGAGGCTGACAGCAGCTAGGTGTGGTCATTCCTTATCAGAGAGAGGTCTTCTGTCCTCCTGAACCATGACATATGGTTTAAGGTGTAGTCTGGCTATCTCTGGGCCCTGGTGGCTCAGACGGTAAAGCGTCTGTCTGCAATGCTGGAGACCCGGGTTCGACCCCTGGGTCGGGAAGATCCCCTAGAGAAGGAAATGGCAACCCACTCCAGTACTCGTGCCTGGAAAATCCCATGGACGAGGAACCTGGTGGGCTACAGTCCATGGGGTCACAAAGAGTCGGACGTGATGGAAGCAACTTAGCATGCCTGCATGCAACATTTATTGCGATTTCTTTTAACATTTGCATCTAACTGCCCCACCGAGCTCCTGCAGGCAATCAGGACGCCTGGCTTGCCTGTCATCAACAAGTGTCCAGGCCACTCCTCTGTCTGCTCCAGCTTCCCTTTGTTATTAATACAAAGACTTCCATTTTGTAAACCACGAGGACCAGTAATAGGAAGACCTTCTCAGACAGCTGCAAGGTTAATTTTTTTTTTCTGTGGATTTACCTGAAGCTTTTCTCTCTGTGCCAGTGAGGCAGAAGGACACAGCAGCCTGACTAGATCACAGTGTAGCTGCAGCACATGCATGCTCAGGGCCCAGGGACAAACTAGCCTGCTTTCTTTGAAAACACTGTAACCAACCACTGCCTCTCTTTTGCTTCTGAGTTTAAGAGACTCATAATGCAAACAGTGGCTCAACAGTAGCAATTTTACTGGCCCTGATTGTTCAGCAACAGTATTTCTCTTCTCCAAAGTCTTGATGTTCAGATTTCCTTACATTTTTCCTGGAGCCAGTTTCTGTATTAGTTTACATGTATTGTAATAATTGTAAAATTGTAATAAATTACTGTAGGTTTTCTCTCAGTGTATGAATAATGTATGATTTTTAAAATCCATTCCTTGCAGATCGCTTCCATAAACTTCTTCAGGTACTCTCATTTGAAAAATATGTTTAATTGAAACATACACATTAAATACTTCCCAGCTGGTTCTCTTAGCAACAATTGTAGCCTGTTTCTAGTATAAGACCAAGTTTCTACCATAAACTAACTTTAGGGGAAAAAACCACCTAAAGAAAAATTTGCCATGTTTTGTTTCATAAGCAATATGAGCTAATAAGGTGTCATTGGTCTCTAACAAAGCTGTGCCTCAGTGCTGAGAAACTGCAAGTGTTGGCTGCATCCTCTATGACCCTCAGCTGCACCAACTTAATTTATAAAATGTAATTACTGAGCCAATTGTGAGGTACTGAATATGATCGTATCTCTGCAGTGACTCACCTGCCAATGGAAGGAAAACAAGACTGTTCTCAACATTTATAATTTCCCTAAGAAGTCTTCCTGTTGCCATGGTGATGTTGATGCTTTTTAGCTCAAAAAGCAAGAACTCTACATTGTTACTACCATAATTGATAAATGGCAAATGGATCAGGCATGATGGATGATGAAGGTGTCATGGGACTATAGTTGTTCAGTTCTGTAGGTACCATGAGATCAGAGACAGAAAGACAGCATCAGATATGGTCTCGGCAAAACATAGGAGCTGTTGGGCTGGAACTCTTCCCCTTTGTAGCTGAGATTTTGGGCAAGTTACCCAACCTCACTTTACTCATTTGTAAAATGGGGATAATAATAATACTCTTAGTTGTATGGATCAAATGAGTTAACACTTATAAAGCATTTAGAACAGAGCCTGCACACAGGACGCATCATTTGAGTTTGTTAAAATAAGCTGCATAGTGAAGCTTAACCAAACTTCGCTGGTAGTTTTCAGCATTAGAACCTACAAATCACTGTTTTCAGGTCCAGGAATAGTAGAATCTCTTCAGTCTGATGTTTCTAGATATTGCAAGCTTTCAAAATAGTTAAATGTATGTGTTAAGGAAGAAAGTGCTTTTTTTTTTTCCAGTGGAATATCTATTCTCAGTTCCTAGAAACTATGACTTAGAAATCTATGTCTACTCTGTACATGTGTATCATTGTAGACAATTTTGTTAACACATTGTAGACAATTTTATTAATTTTAATAACACAAAATTATTAACACAATTTTATTAGATTTAAAATTCATGTTATTAATCATAAATTTTAGATTAAGTAAACTCCGATCTTTGAATTAAACCAAAAATGCTTTGAATTCCAGTGCTGCCATTTCTTAGCTATGTGTTCTCGGGCAGATTTCTTAAGTCCTCTGAGCTTCTGCTTCTCATTTGAGAAATTAAAAAAAATAGAGTTTTTGTGTTGATCAAATAAGATCCTATAAGCAAACTGAATAGCATACTTAAATGTTAATAATGAAACATGGCATTATTTAATGGATAATCAGTAAATATTGGGTTGGTCAATAAGTTCATTTGTTAAGATATTACGGAAAACACCAGATGAACTTTTGGCCAATCCAGCAGTTAGCATGAAAATGTTAAATACTTTTTTACCTTCTCATTGCCAACGTGGCCACTTCTAGGAGCCCTTCCTGGATCCTCCTTCTCCATCACCATTACATAACTCCTGTTTCCAGTGTCTCCTTAGCTCATACTCCATTTACGGGACCACATCTGAGGCTTGGTAACACCTTGACTTGGAACTATTCCCAAACTTTTGTCTGCTTTGTCTTCATATCTCCATTATCAGCATTTTGACGGCAAGAGGCAGCCTCCTTGTTTTCTGGTCTCTTTTAATTAAGCCCTGTGCCCTGTTCTGTACACAGTTCATAGGTTGGTCATTATATCTTAATGGATAAAAAGAGTGGCCATTGTTATGTATTTTTTTATTTAACAAATGGAGGAGGAATGAGATCAGAGTGTGAATCCACACTGAACTGTGCTGTGCTGTGCTTAGTCACTCAGTCGTGTCCGACTCTTTGCGATCCCATGGACTGTAGCCTGCCAGGCTCCTCTGCCCATGGAATTCTGCAGGCAAGAATACTGGAGTGGGTAGCCATTCCCTTCTCCAGGGGATCTTCCCAACCCAGGAATCAAGCACGAGTCTCCTGCATTACAGATGGATTCTTTTACCCATCTGATCCACCAGAGAAGCCCTAAGAACTAAAAATAAGGTCAGAAACAAGCCTTTCTGGCATAGGATGGTGCCCTGATGAACTCAAAGGAAATGATTGCTTTGGGTGGGCCAAAAAGTTCATTTGGTTTTAAGTAAAAATAAAAAGACATATTTTTCATTTTCACCCAGAACTTTATTGAACAACATATTCACTAACTGAAGAAACTCTTCTGGCCAACCCAATAGAAAGACAAATGAGTCATGTACTGAGAGCATTATCTTGTGGGTTCCTCACAATTAGGGACTTGGAGCAGGATCCAACAAAACAACAGGAAAAGAACAGCTAAATAGTGGCTCAATCGGGTAAGTAGGGTAACCAGAAAGCCAGAAGGGGAAAAAAACTTTAAGATGTGGTATGTGTTTGGGTACATGGGTGTGTGTGTGCGTAGAGGCCAAGAAAAATTAAAATTAAGAAAATGCCACTAGTTTTCATGAGGAGATCATTGGAAACCTTCAGAGAGTGTGTCAAGCAACCTATAGAGGCTAAATACAAATTAAGAGGATTCAGAAAGAATCGGTGGTTGGGAAGTGAACATAGCTGGTGTAGACCAGTGGTTTGGGAGGAAGCAAGATTGGATACAAGATGCTAAAGATGGAAGATGCAGGAAAGATGTCAACAAAACAGAAACATTCTTGAATTTCCAATGACAACTGAAAACAAATCATCGCAAAGCTCAAATAAAATCACTCTAGTGGCATCTGTATATGCCTATTACTTCCAGCATGAGAAAACTGAGAAGTGAATCTGATGGTTCTAATTTTCCCTAGTACACAGGTTCTTTCAAAGATTGAGACAAGGATTAGCATGTATTGAAAATATTTTCAGGCTAATTATGGTAAAGTATTATTGTTGAAAGTTAATGTCTAAAGTTTTCAATAATTACTGGCATTACCCATATTCAGGGTCAGGAAAGAAGAAGATAAACTATTTTTTAATATTTATATGTATTTATTTATTTGGCTGCACTGGGTCTTAGTTGTGGCATGGAGGATCTGTAGCTGTGGCATGTGGGATCTAGTTCCCTGACCAGGGATCAAACCCAGGCCCCCTACATTTGGGAGCAAGCAGTCTTAGCCACCGCACCACCAGGGAAGTTCCGAAGGTAGACTTTTATACAGAATGAACTCTCTGTTTTGTATCTGCATAGGTCCCTCAGGATGAATGGACAGGGTACACCCCTCGAGGTAAAGATGATGAAATCCCCTGCCGAAGAATGCGGAGCGGCAGCTACATCAAGGCCATGGGAGATGAAGACAGCGGTGACTCGGACACCAGCCCCAAGCCTTCTCCCAAAGTGGCTGCGCGAAGGGAAAGCTATCTCAAGGCGACTCAGCCATCCCTCACAGAACTCACCACTCTCAAGTGAGTGTTTCCAATACTCTACTTCCCATACCCCACTTCCTGTTTTATCCCTTATGATCCGATCGCACAGCTTCTAGAGTTAGTGTGGCAAACAACATCCCACAGGTGGAGCAACATGATATATTGAAGAGTCTATTGGTTTTGACCTTGGGTCTGACATACATCCCAGTGCCTTCAAAGACATGGTATCCAGGTGTGTTTTGCATAGAGCACAAGCTGAACCACCAACCTCTAAAAAGAGTTTGCAACAATCCAGAATGGCTACTAAAGAGAATTAGGAGTTATCATCAATGAGGGTGTCAGTGTATTCCCACTCTTGGTTGTTTGTTTAGCCATCAAATCCACAGGGCAATGCTTCCTTAAAAAACTCTTGAATTTTTCAGATGACTGAGTGATAAAATAGTGTAGATCAGTGGTCCCTAGTGGTTTATCTGTATTGTTTAAAGTCAATGCTGAGTTCCTTCTGAGGCCACTGGGAGAATCAAATGAGAGATACTGAAAGCACTTGGTAAACTCTTGTTCACAATTACTTATCTTGTAAAAAAGCCTTGAAAACAAATGAATATATTCCTAGTGATCGGAATGGATGATCAAATATACTTCCTATTCATTGGTCCTTTGGGCTCACAGATAAGTTTGAAAGCATGCGAAGCAGTTAACACGATCACTGAAAAGAACACTTCTCCAGTTCTGAAGGGAATAGTTAGTGCTGGTTTGTTACAGCCACTCCCCTCCTCCCGACAGAACTAGAAAGAACGGGATTCCCCAGATGAACAGAGGGAAATACGTTCATGTTGAGAGTGGATGACAGTACGAGGCATGGCTTCATTGGTACTTTTAACCTACCAATATGTACCTGCCAGACCGAGTTCCCAGCCTCCAGGTGGGCTAGCGATGCTCAGTGGAATTAAGAAGGAACAGGGAACTTTCAGAGAAACATGGCTTCAGAGGCTAGGCTGGAAGGGGGAGGGTGAAGAGTCTGAGCCAGCACACATGCAGCCAAAGTCAGGGGGGGTGGACAGGTGTGAGATGACAATTCAACTCAACAACTACAGGTAAAGCTACTCCGGGAAGCTACTGATCAAGGTGCTGTAGCATATAGGGATTGTGTAATGGTGAGGTAGCATTGCTTGCATCTCCTTGGGGTTGTGACAATACTCCCAAGGGCTTCACAGTCATCTTTATTTTATATTTGGTCATCCTGCATGGCATGTGGGATCTTAATTTCCCAACTAGGAATGGAACCCATGCCTCCTGTAGTGCATGCCCAGAGCTTAAGCACCACCAGGGAAGTCCCCACAATCATGTTTAGCTAACATTTGAACCCTCTTGGACATGGTGTACAGAGATAATAGGAAAGTGTGTGAGAAGGTTGTAATGACCTTGAGAAAGGTTTCAACAGAGTGCTGCCAGAGTTCTTGGGAAGAAGAAATAACAGCCAACAGGGAGAGGTTAAATTTGAGAGGAAGACTGAAAACAACGGAAACTTTCTTCTACTCTTCTACTTAGATTGTAAGTTCTGTCCTACTAGAAACCCTGACTACTGATATATCCCAATGCTTAGCACATAGGAGGTGGTCAGCAATCATAATAATGATGTAATAACTAGTGAATATAAATGGGCTTCCCAGGTGGCACTAGTGGTAAAGAATCCACCTGCCAATGCAGGAGACAAAAGAGACACGAATTTGATCAGTGGGTGGGGAAGATCCCCTGGAGTAGGAAATGACACCCCACTGCAGTATTCTTGCCTGGAAACTCCCATGGACAGAGGAGCCTGGTGGGCTACAGTCCATGGGGCCACAATGAGTTGGACATGACTGAACAACCGAGTGTGTGCGCACACACACACACACACACACACACACAGAGCTAACATGAAAAGGGCACTGATCATTGCGAGGCACTCTTCTAAGTATTTCACATACACTATCTTTTCCAGTCTTCACAATTACTCTTGAGGTAGGATACATAACCATACATGTAAAGCTGACGACAAAATTGAGACACAGAACAGTGAAATAACTTTCCCACAGTAGCCCTTCTAGAAGCGACAGAGGTATAGTTTTGAACCCAGATCATCTCCCCTCAGAGCCTGTGCTCTGGAGCAACATGCTGTCGTAAGTCTTTTTTGAAAGAACAGATGAAAAAGGAGATGGCATTCCTGGGGTATATCGTGGGGAATGGCTTCGAGGTACCATTATTTTTACTGTTCACTATGTATACGCAGCTCTCCTTTTCTCGGCACGTGGCAATGTTGCACTTCTCTGCCTCTTTGAAATCAGTGTGGTCATGTATGTGGCTTTAGCGATGAAATTTGAACAGAAGTGTTGTGTATCACCTCCAGGAAGTGCAGCCCTACTCCCTGGGTCCACTTTTCTGATTTGAGGACCATGGGAACACCGATTGAGATATACCTTCTGTCTTTCTGGGTATCTGAGTGAATGCAATGAACAGAGCCTCCTGCCAGCTCATGATATGGACACAAGAAACATGTCCAAGAAATGAAGTTGTGAGCAAGAAATAAAGTTGGGTGATTTGCAGTTGTTTATCAACAGAGCCAAATTTGTCCTATCCTAACTTATACGTAAATTGATACTAGGAATGGAGTACTCATGTAACAACAAAATAAACTAAAACATATAACTGATTATAGGATTTGGTAGCAGAAAGCAAGGTAATTATCAGAGGCTGGTACATACTGATCCATGTTATGCAGTGGTGAGTCATTTGGTAAATTGTTGTCTAGAACATGGACGGTAGATGAGGTAACAAATGAACTCTAACTCTAGGGAAAGTACTTGCCAAACATATTGTTAACAGAATGTGTTGGTTGCTCTTGGCAGCCTTCAACACTGTGTTCCATGATTTGAAATAGACTCGGAAAAGAATTGGTTATAATACAAGCAGTAATGAAAGGGAATAAGAAGAGTCTAGACATTTGTGGACTTGTGTGACTGGAAGAAGCAATTGATCTCAATCCAGTTTGTAAAAGGTAAATCTGAGAAAGCACTTGAATGAAGAAGATAGGATGAAAACTGTCCCGTGTGGCAATGTTCAAATCAAGAACATGGCCCCGGACTTCCCTGGTGGTCGAGTGGTTAAGAATCCACCTGCCAATGGAAGGGACATGGGTCTAGGAAGATTCCACATTCCCTGGCACAACTAAGCCCGTGCACCACTGATCCCGAGTTCTTGAGCCCATGATCCACGAGAAGCCACTGCAATGAGAAGCCCACACACTGCATTTATTTAGAGAGTAACCCCCATGAACCACAACTCAAGAAAGCCCAGGTGCAGTGATGAAGACCCAGTCCAACGACAAGTAAATAAATAAATATTTTTTAAGTTAAAAATCAAAAAGGACATGACTCCCTTGCTCCATTATTCATGCTTTGAGTGGAATCGGATGATTTAGAATGAAGATGCAATTAAGCAAATATTTTTAACTAGATTAAAATGCTTCAGAGAAGAGCAGTGGATAGGTTGGTAAACTGAGAGTATATGAGAAAGAGAGGCATGATGGTAGGAAGGCAAACAAATAAGACAGAGATGGTCATGGCATCTCCAAGGGGTCTATGAGTATGATGCCTGCTACATGGAACTCACTGGAGCCAGTAGGTTAAGAAGTTGTCTGTGTGGCTTCCCTAGTAGTTCAGTGGTAAAGAATCCACCTGCCAGTGCAGGAGACAGAGTTTCTACCCCTGATATGGGAAGATCCCAGATGCCACAGAGCAACGAGGCCTGTGCACCACAACTAGTGAGCCTACATGCACAACTACTGAAGCCTGTGCCCTGCAGCAAGAGAAATGACCGCAATGAGAAACAGCACACCACACCTAGAGAGTAGCCCCTGCTTGCTGCAGCTAGGGGAAAAAAAGCCCATGCAGCAACAAAGACCCAGAACAGCCAAAAAATAAATACAAATAAATTTTTTAATTATTTTTTTTTAAAGAAGTTGACTACGATGATCTTGAGAGGACCTACTTCCCAAAGAATCACAATGAAAAGACACAGCAAAGAGAGACATCCTAAAATGTCTACTGGCTCCAAGGAGCCAATATTTCCTAATGTGTACTTTGGATATTTTGGATGTGGTCATACAGGACAACAGAAATGGAGGACTCTCCCATGGAGCTGAACAACATGGACAAGGACCAGGGAAGTTGTTCCAGGGAGCAGAACCCAGGCTCCACCCCAGGACTCATATCAGCCAGAAAGAAAGTCAAAGTTGCTCAGTCATGTCCGACTCTGTGACCCCATGGACTGTGCAGTCCATGGAATTCTCCAGGCCAGAATACTCAAGTGGGTAGCCATTCCCTTCTCCAGGGGATCTTCCCAACCCAAGGATCGAACCGGGGTGTGCTGCGTTGAAGGCAGATTCTGTACCAACTGAGCTTTCAGGAAACATCAAACAATGCCTACTTAACTCTAAATCTCCTCAATCCTTTGGTCATTCGGTCCTTCCTCTTTTCACCCCAGGCCAAGCCTGAGTCAAGATATTCTCTCGGCCCTTCCTTTTTCAGCTGCACTTCCTGCTTGCACTTCCAGGTCAGAACCCACTTCACTGCAGCCTCTGGCATCTCCCTCAATCTGCTCTGCATTCTCCCAGTATGCTTTGAGTGGCTTCTTTTCCTAGGCACCCAGTTGGTTTTCCTTTTCTCCTCCATTTGGACCTACTGTCGTATCTTTTGCTCACCTCAGCAGTTTTGGTGAGTCCATTATTCCAACCAGCTCTTTATTCTTTCTGCTTTCAACTCTGGGCCTCACATCTTCGCTCTGACAGCTAGTTGCTGTGTAACCATGGACGAGTTATTGAATCTTCCTAAGACAGAGATTCCTCATTTGTGAAGTGGGGACAGCCTCATGCATAGAGTTATAGCAATAAAACAAAGTTAATGTGAGCCCTGAGTACTCGATCAGGCACTTTGAACCTAATTAAAACTGAAATCTCTCTCCTGTGTTTTAAACTTTCCATTCCTTCTCTCTAAAAAGCATCT